CTCCTCGCACATTTCACTGTAATGTTTTGCTTTGTCATTCCGTGCTGCCTTTTGGAATCTTCTGTTCAGCTCTTTAGTGTCTTGAATTCTTCCTTGTGCTTTGTATGTACTCAAGAGTACACTGACATAATCCATAAAAGCAAACACTTCTAGGGGAGCTCTGGCAGCCTAGTGACAAGAAGCTGCACTGCAATCCCAGAGATATGTAGTTCGAATCCACCAGGTGCTCTGCCAGAGAAGGAGGGGCCATCTCCTCCTGTACCAGTCAGATCCAATTTGATGGTACACATACACACACAGAAAATAATAATTTTTTTTTAAAAAAGTAAACACTTCAAAAATTGAACTTTGTAATGAAGACTAAGAAGCTATGTTGCCTGAGTTGTATTGCCAACCCAAAAGTATACAGTTGGAATCCAACAGCTGCTCTGAGAAGAAAGACAGCAATCTCCTCTCTGGTAATTTACTACGTCAGAAACTTCACTGAAGGGTCAGTTATGAGTTTGGATACAACAATGATAAATAACAAAGAAAACAATAGAGAGGACTTTTATATAAATGGGACAGCTGAAAATAATATTACAATACATACTAGAATTGAAACAGAAGGTTACATATAGCTTTACTTAGATTAGGAAAAAATAATGAGTACAAATGAACGTACATGGGGATAAGGCAGTCCTAATTTTCACATATACATTTAGATATGATTCCTCCCTTGGTATTAATATTCTTGTGTATGAATAGGTAAATTGATTTAATGATAATTAATTAACTGAGAATGCTTTCTCAATGCTTATAGTAAGTAACAAGACTTCTTTAATGTGAAGGCTCAGAGGTGTCTTCAGGGAAGATGAACACTGAAGGCTTTTGACATATTTCACATTACCCAGATCAATCCCCAATATGCTATCTCACACAATCTTCTACAGTACTTCACATGATGTTTGTCTTATAACCTCACAAGTTCTCTGAGAAAATATGGAAGCCTTTTTAATATGCATGCTAGAAAAGTAGGGAAGGAAAACAAATTTTCCACCGTTCCGTATACTTGTATGCTTTCTATACTTATATATAAAGAAAAAGATGAAAGTTATGCAACATTACATATAGACACACTTTTAGAATTCTAAAGATATATTTTCTCAAGTATGAGAGACACTGGAAGACATTCTAACAATCTTGATAGTAGTGAATTTTACTCTTAAGTGAATTATAATATGTCGAGTGATTTGTAATGAACAACTACATACTTTTACATGTTCTCAACATGTGAGTCTTTAAGACTGGTATATGAGAGGATTACATAATACATGTACTTCATTCCTTAAATTCAAAAGGCCTTTCTCCAGTATGAATTCTTCTGTGTACAAGGAAGCATTAGGAGGAAATAAGTGTCTTTCCACTTTAAATTTCAGAGGTCTTTTTCCACTATTAGTTATTCTATGCCAACTAAGGTGGGAGAAAACCTAAAAGTTTTCAAATGATCCTTACATTCAGAAAGCCTCTCTTCCCTGTGAACTTCTCTGTATCTACAGGCTTGAGGGAAAACTAAATATTATCCCTATTTTTTAAAAAAAATTTTATTTTACGTTATTATTTTTCACATGTGTACCGTCAAATCGAATCTGACTGGTACAAGAGATTGTCCCTCCTTCTCCAGCAGAGCATTTGGTGGATTTGAACCACATTCCTCTGGTATTGTAGTGCAGCTTCCTGCCACTAGGCCACCAGAGCTCCCTTTATTTTCCCTATTTTCACAAGCCCTTATAAGTACTGTGAGGTAAGAGTGATGACTAAAGCCCTTTCCACATTTCTTACATTCGTAAGCCTTCTCTCCACTGTGAATTTTTATGTTTTCTGAGGTGAGAGGATCACTGAAAGTGTTTACCTCACCTGAAAGGTTTCCCACATTCCTTATATCCAAAAGATGTTTCTCCACTATGCTGTCTTATATGTACAGTAAGGTCTAAGAAAGAACTAAAGTGTTTCCCACATTCCATACATTTAAAAAGGCTTTAGTACACTGTGACTTTTTCCTATGTAAATTAAGGTGTGAGGAAGATACAAATGTTTTCCCACATTCTTTACAATGAAAAGGCCTCTCTCCACTGTGAACTCTTTTATGTACAGTGAGGTGTGAGGAACACCTAAAAGTCTTGCCACATTCCTTACACTGAAAAGGCTTTTCTCCACTGTGAATTCTTCTATGTAGAGTAAGGTATGAGGAAGAAATAAATGTCTTCCCACATTCTTTACATTGGAAAGGCCTCTCTCCACTGTGAAGTCTTCTATGTACAGTTAAGTGTGAGGAATACCGAAAAGTTTTCCTACACTCCTCACATTCAAAAGGCCGTTCTCCACTGTGACTTCTTCTGTGTACAATGAGGCCTGAGGGAAAAAGGAAGGCTTTTCCACATTCTTTGCATTCAAATGGCCCCTCTCCACTATGAGTTATTCTATGCTGAGTGAGCTGTGAGAAAAAGATAAATGTTTTCCCACATTCTTTACATTCAAAAGGCTTTTCTCCACTGTGTACTCTCCTATGTAAAGTGAGGGAAGAGAAAGAAGGAAATGCTTTACCGCATTTTTTACATTCAAAAGTGCTCTCTTCACTATGAGTTTTTCTATTTTGACTGAACTGTGATAAAACACTAAATGTTTCCCCACATTCCTTACAGTTAAAAGGCCTCTCCTCACTGTGAACTCTTGTGTGTGCAGTGACATATGAAGAACATTCAAAGGATTTCCCACATCCCTTACATTCAAAAGGACTCTCATCACTTTGAATTTGTGTATGTCTATTGAGATGGGAGGAACAAGTCAAAGTTTTTCCACATTCCTTACATTCCTTGTAAGTCCTGATAGCACTGGGAGTTCTTATATTTTCAGTGAGAAGTGAGGGACAACTACAAGGTTTCCCCAAATATTTACAATTACATGGTTTTTCTGCAGTAACATTTCTCACAAGAGGTTTTAGAAAAGACAAAGTGCAGGTGTCTCCACAATCCTTACACTGATATGCCTTGTATTCAGTAGGACAGCTTACATCATAATTAGATGTAGGATTTTTGAAGGATTCTTCATGTTCACAATATATAGGATTTATTATAGTAGGTTTTTCATATTGACTGTCTTCTTTATGTTTCTTTTCTTGATCTTCATGTACGTCGAGGCTCTTTATCATATATTTTCTGTAAGAAAGGAAGCAAATTGATAGACTTAAATTTGATACCACGTTACAACTGTATAGTGTATCTGGGTTTTCTGCTGAATGGTCTTTCTCATGTCATAAAGTCTAAATTCTCTCAGAAAACTTTATATCATTTATGACAGTCTTCTAAAATGATGCTTCCTATAAGTACAAGAAACTGGTATATGTGCCAAATTCTAAATATACGATTTATAGAATAGCAAATCATGTGAACATACTGGGTGACACTGAAATTTTTATTTACACAAATGACAAGATACCCAAATGCTCCCTCCTGAGACACCGCTGTCACATCAATGATACTCACCTCGCACACTCTTCCTCAGTCTTTTGCTGATGCTCTGTGTCATGGAATTCAACTCTTTCTCCTATCAGCGAGGACCAAGAGACAGTATCCACGGACAATGTCAGCCTATCATTATCCTGTTGAAAAACTGAACGAAAACTTTTAAGGAGAGTTTTACAAAACAAACCAAGCAGGAAGGAAGTTTTATAATTAACAAGGATGTACAAAATAAGACTTTTTGGAATTTGCTGTTTGGAAATAGGCAAAACAATATAAATAATGGAAGATGTGCACAAAGCTAATATTTAAAAAGGAAATAAGAAAGAATATAGTTTCCCACAAATAAATAAAACATGAATATTGTTGTTGTTTTTGAGTCAAATCTGACTCAGTGACACTATGCACAATAGCTCTCAACTCTGTTCTATCCTAAGCCAATCTCACTGTCTCTGACACACCGACCCTCATTACCCCAGTACCATGTGAGTCCATATCCTCAGGTTCTTTCTGTCCTGCACTATCTCTCCACCCTTCCAAGCATGAAGCCCTTTGCCAAGGACTGGTCCCTCCTAGCAACATGCCCAAAGTATGTGAGACAGAGTTTCAAAATCCTTGCCTCTAAGGAGCAGCTTTGTTTTACCCTTTCCAAAACAGACCTGTTTGTTCTCTTGGTATGTTCAATACTCTTATCCAGCACCACAACTCAAAGGTATCAATTTGTCTTCTATCATCTTTGGGCACTGTCCAGGTCTCAAATGTACAGCAAGTAATTATGAAGACCATGGCCTGAATCAGGTGTACCTTAATCGCTAGACTGGTGTCATTGCTCTTTAGTACTCTGGAGAGGTCCTTCACAGCATATTTTCATAATGCTATTTGTCTTTTGATTTCCTGAGTGCTGGTACCAAGAATGTTGATTGTGGACCTAAGCAACCTTAAATTGTTAATCATCTCAACCTCTTCTCTATCTATCATGGTGCTGCCAATAAGCCCAGCGGAAAGAGCTTTACTTTCTTGATGATGAGCTCCAATCTATATTGTAGACTACAGTTCGTGACCTTCTACAGCAAATCAATATTGACCAAAAATTTTTAAAAGTCAGTTCAGATTTGTATAGAAACTCAGTGCCCAAAAAATAAAAAAGGTTATTTATTTGAAATTATTTTATCACATGTAATTCTGTTGAGCTTTCAAATATTTCTTGCCTTGATTCCTTATACTGTACCTCCTTTGAAATTATATTTGCAGTATGTTAAAAATTTTTTAATGATCTAAGAAGAAATATTGGTGTTAACAGAATCAAGAGGACCATTAAGGGTAAAGAATGATTACAAATGAAGATTACATAGTCTTACGAAATTTCAGCAGTACAGTCTGGATGAATTAACAGGAGAAGGTTTTTTCTCAGCAAAGTAATCTCAATATAACTCATTACAAACAAATACAAGATGCCATGTTCACAGCCTTCTAAAGGCTTTTAACACAAAAGAAATGATCCATAGATCTGCAGCTTTTTACTTTCGTGAAGAAACCACTAGATTCTGCACTCCAATATGGCAGTAAAAAAAAAAAAACAAAAACAAAACCTGTCATATTTTCCAGAATATTCTTCAGCTTCTTATGATGAGGTCAAGGTCCTCAAGGAGTAAAATACATTTAGGCAGGAAAAAGAAAATGGCAAACATTCTTACCTGAGCATAGGTTCTTGAATATTTCTATCATCACATCTTTGTAGAGTTTCCTTTGAGAAAAATCCAACAAAGTCCACTCTTCCTGGGTAAAGTCTATGGTCACATCTTCAACAAGCACGGAGTCCTAAAACATTAAGTAGTCTAGATCAGCAACATATTATCTTTCCTAATGTGTGGAAACTGGATGGATATAGCCAGTATTTTGACTAGGCACAATTCCAGTTTAATTTCCATCTATGCTATGATGCAGAAAATTCTAATATCTTACTGGTTAAGGAGTTGTTCACCCAACTTGAATACAGGTAGTTCAAATTCACCACTTGCCCCTTTGAAGAAAGATGAGATATCTTCTCCAAGGCAATTTACACCTTTTGGAAACTCCTTTGAGAGTCAGTTATGAGTCAGTTCCAATTATGAACTTCACCCTGCCCACTTTGAAGGTGCTAGGGCGGTTCCCCATGAAGATCCTAATTGGGATTATCAACAATTGGCTCAGGCAAGGAAGCCAAAGGTGAGACAAAATGATAACTAATCTGTAAAAGGCACAGGGCCACAGGGTGATGGCCATATCTGGCCTTTACCAACTTCCCAAAAGGGAATTGTCCTCATCTCAGCACCAATAACATAAAATCAATTCCCATGAGGTCAGACATGCCCCTCATGCTCCCATGCCCCCTTCTACTCAGCTCAACAATAATCTTACTGTTTTGCTAGTCCAAAATTTGGTGCAATAGCTCACAGACTACACAGAACCATACTGGGGAAGTAAAAAGGTTACAGTCCAGAATAAAAACAGAACGCAATCAAGACAGCTCTTAAAATGTGCATGCATGCACCTCAGCCTCAAAGCTTGGTGTTCCCAAGCTCACAGTCCTGCCAACAATGGCTTCCCACCCCTACTTGGCCAACAAAGTTTTCAATCCTGCCAATATAGGCTCTCCTCACTCCCAGGTCCCATCTCACATCAGGTCTCCACTTCGGCCATAGGTGTTGCTGCCATAGGTTTAGCTGGAGCAGGAAGGGTGTCCTACGTTGCCATGCTTTCTGTTCAGTGGCACCAGTCTCTGAGGCTAGAGCTGTTCAATTTATTGGTGAGACTAGCCAATCCCCTTGTAGACTGTTGAAACTGGCTAATCCTCTTGTGGAATAATCAGTAGCCAATCCCCTTGTGGATAGGCCAACACATCCCACTCACATATGCCCATCCATCTACGTAGCAAAGTCACACAATGGCTAGAAAAGTCATATTGAAAGATAAACACCATACAGTCTTATTGTTGGCCTTCCAAAAGCCTCCCATAAAGCAGTTAACTGGAAAAAAAAACCCTAAAAGAAATTACATAAAATTAAAATGAAAACCCCACTCTTTCCCTTTCTCACCTTACTAAAAGGTTTGCAAGTCCTTAACCCTACCACCCCTGAAGGTCAGTTAATTCTTAACATGAATTTCATTTTGCTATCTGTTGCCAGTATTTGAAAAAACTTGAAAATGGCTCTGAAACTCCACAAGAAGACCTCCGGAATCCATCCTTAAGAGTCTTCAATAATTGAGAGAAAGTCATGTCTAAACAAAAGGCCTTTCATGACCAAGCTAATACCAATACTTGCCCAAGTAATCAGGGATGGCAACTCCCAACAAGACATAAAAATTGGCTAAATCAGCCACTCAATCAGCAGGAAATGGAGCCAGCTAGTCCACTACTGTTGCATGCAAAACATGGGGTGTGATGATACCCCGCCCCACGGTCCCCAACTAAGCCGTGCACAGAGTGTGGAAGATCTCACTGGAAGTCTGGCTGCAAGTGTTAAGTTTTCAATATGTTAAGTTTTCAGACCCTTCCTAATCAGCAGCGTCCTCCCTGCCAGACCAGGTTGGTCTTTTTATCATCAAAGGTTGATGGAATCCAGGGACCAGTGCTGCCATTACCATCACGCTGGTGAAACTCCAGGTTGTCATCTTTGTAGAAGGTAGATTCACCATTTTTCTTATTGATTCAAGGGCATATTACTCTACTCTTGTTGAACACCATGGAACGTTCCAGTCATCAGATCTGTCTATTGTGGGAATTGATGACATAGTTATGCAGCCTCTAGCTTCTCACTTGCTAGACTGTACTTGTAATCACTCTATCTTTACATACCCCTTCTTGGTCATTCATGCTCCACCCCCCTTTAGGATGAGATATACTGCCTAAATTACATGCTCTCTCTTCCTTCTGGGATGCACCCTAACCCCTTGTGCTTCTTTTTTCTTCCTAGGCCTTCTTACTTCACCTCCAGACTTAGCACCCCCCTTACCCTGTGGCTCTTTTCCAATCTCACCCAAAGTATAGGATAGCCACAAGTTCTCCATTGCCAAGCATCTTGCCCTACTTAAAATTCCCCTCTAGCAATCACATTCCTTCGTTGTCCAAAAACAACAGTCAATCCCTCCAAAAGTCCTATATGGCCTCAAACCTCTGATTCACTCCTTCCTCCAAAAGGAACTCCTAATCCCCATCAGGGGAGCTCTGGTGGCCTAGTGGTAAGAAAATGCACTGCAATCCCAAAGGCATGCTGTTCGAATCCACCAGCTGCTCTGCAGGATAAGGATGGACAAATCTCCTTCCAAGTGATTAACAGCCTCTGAAAACCCGCTGGAGGGTCAGCGATGTGTTGGTTCGGACTGGATGGTACTCAACAACAACAATCCACATCAACTCTCCCTATAAACACTCCAATCCTCCCAGTAAAGAAACCTAATAGGTCCTATAGATTAGTCCAGAACTCCTTCTCATGCCCGCATTCCACATAGTATTCTTCAGTCTAGATCTCAAAGATGTATTTTTTTACTACCTGCTGGACCTTCAATCACAGTCTCTCTTTGCTTTTACATAGACAGACTCTGATACCCACATTTCTCATCAGTTAACCTGGTATGTCTTCCCGGTTAGAGCTGTGGAGTTACTCTCCCTCCCTTTCCCAGTACAGCCATAGAAATCATCAAAGCAGCAGCTGCACCTCTGTTTACCTGTTAGAGCTGCAAAACTCACCTCCCTTTCCCAGAAATAACTATCCACAAGCCCTGACCTGCACCCTTATTTTGTACCAAGCAGCTGCAAACATCCTCACTCCCAATTTCCTTGTAAAACAATATAAAACTCCACTCTAACTTTAAGTAGCTGCTGGTCTCTACTTTAGAGCCAGCCCAGCAATTTTCTCTTCAATAAATTGTCTTTCTTGGCCTGAACTACATTCTGTCCTTCCTCGGCAACCTTATATTCCCCAAAATGTCCACTCAACTTCTTAGAAGATAGAGCCTAACTCTCACAAACCCAGGTAACTTATTTTAAGCTCATGATTACTCTCATACCAAAAGAAAAAAACCTTGACACATTGAGCTTTAAACACAATATCCAATCGCAACTACTAAATGTGCTCTACTCTTCTTCCTCAGCTTAGTCCGCTTTTTCAGACAACAAATACCCTGTTACGCCTCCATAGCAAAACCTTTCTATCTTGCCACCATGACAATTTCCATAAACTCCTAGATCCAACACTATTCATCCAGGCTCCCTTTAAACCCTAAAAAAGACACTCTGCACAGCTCCAACCTCTGCAAAACTTTTCATCTTTACATGGATGAACAATGGCACACAGCTGTTGGAATTTTAGTCCAAATATATGCTCCTCCACATACGATCATTCTATCCAATTATCTATCTACCTATCTATCCAAACAACTCAATCCCACAGTTAAAGGCTGCTGACTTTACCTAAGAGCACTAGCTGCAGCTGCTATTTAAGCACAAGAATCTAAAAACCTGACATTTTTCTCTGCCACAATTGTCTACTTACTTCATAACCTTCAATGTCTCTTCCCCACCTCCCCTGAAGGAATTAGAGCTCCAGGACACCTTTCAGTATTATGGTGTTGTGGTGGTTATGTGCCATCAAGTCACCTGTGACTCATAGTGACCCAACAGCTTTGAACACTGATCTATTTTGAGCCAGTTTCATTGTCTCCAAGGCACCCATCCCATTACCACAGTCACTGAGTCAATCCATCTCAGCCACAGTCCTTTTCCCTTAAGTTGTCCCTCCACCCTTCCAACCTTCTCCAATGACTGGTCCCTTCTAGCAACATGTCCCATGTATGTGAGATGGAGCTTCACAACCCTTGTCTCCAAATAGCAAGTTGGTTTCATCCTCTCCAGTAAAGACCTGTTAGTTCTCATGGCAGTCCATGTTATGTCCAATACTCTTCTCCAGCACCACTCAAAGTCATCAATTCTTCTGTCATCCTTACTCATTGTCCAGCTGTCTAGTGCATAGCAAGTAAATGTGAAGATGATGGCCTCAATAAGGCACACCTTAGTCTTTAGACTGCCATCCTTGCTCTTCAGTACTTTGAAGCAGTACCTAACAGCAGATTTTCCCAATGCAACTTGCCTTTTGATTTCCTGTCTGCTAGCACCGAGAGTGTTGATTGTGGAGTCAAGTAAGCTGACATTGTTAACAATCTTAAGCTCTTCTCTACAATGATGCTCCCAATTGGTGAGAATCTTTGTTTCCTTGATGTTGAGCTTCAATCTATATTGAAGCCTGCAGTCTTTGACTTTCTGCAGCAAATGTGTCAGCTGATCCCCAGTTTCCGCAAGCAAGGTTGTGTCATATGCATAAAGTAAGTTGTTAACGAATCTTACTCCAATCCTGATGTCGCAATCCTCTTCATAAAGCCCGGTCTCCTGAATGATCTGTTGCTCATATAGATTGAAAAGGTATGAAGATAGGATGCATCCCTGTACACTTTTTGTGACTTTGAACCATGTAGTGCTTCCTTACTCTAAGGGCTGCTTCCTGGTCCAAGTATAGGTTTTGCATAGGCATAATCAAGTGTTCAGGATTTCCATTCTTTGCAAAGTTAGCCACAATTTGTTGTGCTCCACACAGTCAAATGTCTTTGCATAGCCAATGAAACACAGATAGACATGTCTCTGATACCCTACACTTTCAGCTAAGGCCCCATCTAACATTGGCTATAATATCCCTAATGCCACGACCTCTTCTAAATCCAGCCTGCACATCTGACAGCTCTCTGTTGATATACCATTCAAGTAATTTTTGGATCACTTTCAGCAGGAT